CCCCACTCCAGGGGCTGCACAGACGCCGCGGCGAGCAGCGGGACAATCTCGCGAGGGGATCAGGCGCCGCCGCCGGGCCGCGCAGCCGCCGCTGCTCCCATGGCATGTACCTCTGCTGCCCATGGCGTGTTCGGCCCGTACGGCCACCGCACGCCCATGGTCGCCCGCGGCCGGGCCTGGCCGGGCCGGGCCACACATCCCTGCGCCCGCTGCGCCCCCCGCCGCACGACATGCGCCCTATGGCGGTGGCGGCCCGGACCCCTCCTCCACGCCCCTGCGCGAGCGCCCGGCATGTCTGACTCGCGCATGCTCGCACCACGCGTGTCCCGCTGCGTCCTGACTACGTGTGACCAGTAATAAAGTTGTTGCGACATCTGACTCTGACCGTCCAGCAGCGGTGTGCGCGACACGCTCTAGCCTCCTGCCCCTCGCCCCGCGCCCCGCGCCGGGGATGCATTTCATGCTCAGCCGAGAGGTCGGACACAGCGCACACTCCTCTGGGCCGCGAGCTTTCGATAGATCTCTGCGGCGAGAGCGCCCGGGGAACATTGCGCCGTGGCGTGGAACGCTGCATAGTAAATAGTGGGCATTTGTTTCGAATTGAAAACAATTTTTTGATTTGATAAGTGGTAGTTGGCTTATTTGGCTCCCATCAGACAGAAGGGCCAAGGACATATGGTGCCACACCTCGTGGGCATTCCTGTATTCTATATGCTACTCAGACACTCCCAAGACCTGGGCCTCCTAACTTCCGTTTCAATTTGATTTCTACATCATTAGTGACATTGCTGCGATGTCGACCTCCCCTTATGTAGCGCCAGCAGAGAACGGTCAGCCACGACGACCCCGTACGACACGGCAAGCAACAGTATAGAACACACACGCCAACAAAAAGAAAAGGAGAGGGAGAAAATGAGAGGGAAGGAGAGAATTTATTCCCCATCCTGTGCGATTTATCTGCAGTCATCCTGCTGGTCTGAGCGGCCAGTGGCTGCTGCTGGTGGTGTTATCGTTCGCTGTAAGTCAAGTCGCAGCAGTCCCCCGAGTGCACTCCAGACTACAGCGGGGCGGGGCGGGGCCAGGGATACGGGGCGCGGTTGGGGGCCTGCTTGAC